AAATATCAGACAATTAATCTTAAAGTATTTATAAAGAAAGATGGGCCACAGAGAGATAGCCCTCAGTGAATCACAGTGGATCTCACAAACCCAGCTCAATCTTTAGTTAACATTTTTTAAATATAAAATGTTCCTTAAATATAGATGAAATAGATAGATAAAATTTAATTTTATATTAAAACACAGGATCCGAGAGATGCACTGCAACTCAGCAAGGGCAAAAAATTACATGATTCACTGAGGATTAAGATTACATAAAAAACATAAATATTTACCTTTGGTATTGTCTTTTCGTGATCCCTTCCTAGATGGTTCTTCATTTCTTGTGAGACATCGCGTTGATCGTTTTTGAGGAACAGACTTACTAATGTACTTAGAACAATTAGGGAAGTTTGATGGATATGCATCCGATGTTAATGCCCAGTGATCTCGTGGAATTTCTACTTTCTCTCCATGGGAGAAGGTTTTTAAAATAAATCTACTCGCAAAATGTACGTCACAAACGTAACATTTATTTGTTAGCATCTTGTCATCTCGTGGAATGCATCGCATCCACTCCTCAATCTTATCGCTAGGAGCACGAAAGAAATGTCTCTTCTTGTTCGATGACTTATATCCTGCCTTGCATCCTGGCACAAAGCACGTTGGCATTTTTATGTTGCTAAAAAAACAATTATTATAGGTCAAAATCACTGACTTCAGTATGTACCTAACAAGACCAATTCTCTTCTTCTAACAGTGGCGCCGACTAGCGGCAAATATTGTCTCTAGCTAAGTTTGAACTATTCATCGAAAGACCAGTCAATCTACCGACTCTGCCGCGATGCATCACGGTTTCGTGTCTATAGACCTTGGCTAGCAACGGAATGAGAGGCGACGCTAGACGGGAAAGGAAAGAACTAAAGAGCAGACGACAAATCGAAGCAACAGGGTTTCCATGTTGGTTAAGTTTTGATTTTACTGTAAAAAGAAAAACAAAAAAGAACCTAATGACGGACACAGCAAGCCATTTTAGCAGGTAACTTGTTACGTACGATATAAAGAGTTGTCTGAAAATTGAGGAACATCTTATAATGAAATTTAAAGTAAGTTTAAATATATTTAATTTCTGAATTACTATAAAACTTTACACTTCACATAATTATTCTGCAAAAAATCGCCTCACTTTAAAGCCAATGTGCGGTATTAATCAAATTCTGCACGTGATCATTACATAGATACGTCATCAAAGAACAGTTTTATCGCAAATTTTACAAATCTGGACGTTAATCTAGCAATTAATCATGCTGATCAATGTCAGAGATAACTTTATAGCTTACTAATATGCAGCATTGTGATGCAACTGTTCTTCCGCCATATTCTTGTACTATGATACAGTACTGATTTATTATTTTTATTTTTATATTACTATTTAACGCGCGGAATTTGACTAAGAATCCATCATAATAATGTTTACTGTACAAAAAATTGTGTTATTGATTATACAAAAGCATTTTTCAAATTTCCCCAAGAAAAGGAAAAGAAGGAAAACAGTACAATATGTAGAACAAAACATATTATAACAGATTACAACATTAAATCAAATAATTTCAATTTAATTGAACAGAAAAATCATATGATTATTATTTTTGCAACTGATTACGTTTGCAAAATAATCTTGTAAGGTGCAACAGTTTATTTTATTTTGTATTTGTTAATAATTTGAAAAATCATTTTTATTGTCTTGCGATTTTAATGTGAACAAAGGATATGAAATTTGGGCAAATAAGACTCGTGGTAAGAAGATTTAGCTATGGGTTTGCCACGTTTCTTTTATGTCTCTAAGATCTAAACAGGAGCCAGTTTCCCATCCGGGAATCATCTCTTTGGCACATCGCATGTGTTGCATTGCCGAACCCTACAATATCACCTTTCTAGAAAATAATTTAAAACATTTTGCATTCTAAGTTAATTATTTAATCATTCATATTACACTAGAATCCCAATTATCCGAGGTAATGTGAACCGATGCATATAATCGGATAACCGAAATAATACTGGGATAAAACGAAAACTGGGATAAAACGGACGACTAAAGGATGTAACGTGAAATTATGATAATTAATGTGATTTTCATTTCATCATGAATTAATTTTTTTTATTTTTGTAAGGAATATACACCAAGCGTGGAAAAACCAATAAATAAATAAATTAAATAAATGTAATACTATTCCTGTTCAGAGATGGCAGCACGTAGCAGACGTTATAAATCATCATTGAGTGGAAGATGTTTAAAAAAATACTTTTTATCAGTATTTTAGGTTTTAAAATGAAGTTTTTTAAAACATTAATGATATAATAATATTATTAATATTGGAAAATTAACTTTGAATATTCTGAACAGATGATGGTAACAATATTAACTTTTACTGCCATCTAGTAGCGAGAATAATTAATTTAGATTTTAATTATAGGTATATTCGAAATACGTTATCACTTTAATTTTAGATTATATGTTAACTTTTTAAAATCCAAATTATGCCAGACGGATAATCTGATGAGTTGTAGAAATTCTTCTAAAATTAGGATCTAAATCAGAAATATCGAGGGAAAAAAACAAAGAAAATTATAGTATAATTAAATAACAACGGTTTACTCAGTATGAGGGCCGTGCAACTGGGAAGTGATCTCTATCTGGGTCTTTCATCCTAAGACACTCCAAAACATATGATAGTTGAAAAAATAAACAAAATAACGTAATGACTGTACGGCGAGACGCTTAATTAAAAATACTGTATATAAAAATAAATTTATATACATATTTAATATTATAGTCTCGTTATAAGGAAGAATCCTTAGCTTTTCGTTGGGATTGGACTGATAGGATAAGAAAACGCAACACATGTGAAGTACCTCTCGGGAGAATTTGTGCGAAACTGTCCCTTATTTAGGTATTAGATAAATGAAAAAAACTCAGAAAACTCCACACTGCCAGTCCATTTTTCCGCGACCAACTGCCAGTGTTAAACACTCTGCCACAGGTTAGTCTCTAGTGCAAAAAAGGAGCCTCCCTCATACTATACTAGGAACACTTTGCACGGCTCTATGCAATTTATATCGCAAATCTCAACCATGGCAATTTGTCAAGATAGAGCTGGAATAATCTCTAAAAATGCCAAAAACAATGCGTGAAATTTGATCCCTCCTAAGCATTTCAAAATGAAATCCGCAAGAAATTTTCTAAATAACTTATATTGTTTACAAATGTACTGTACAAACATTTACATTTCATATTAAGTAAATAGCGAAACTATATACAGTAGTAACACTTTATGCTATTTATTCACATATTAAATGAAGTTTAATTTTAAATTTCTTCAGTTCTCTAGACATGTATATTGAAGCAATAAGCATGCTTATAACATGAATTCGTACTTTTAAATATGTCAATTTGACTGCAATAAAAGAGTATATCAAACCGAAAATATAAAAACAACTGTATTCACTAACACAAAACTAATTAGAGAGTACAGTATACTTTTCTACTCTCATTCAGCACTTATCTTTAACAAAATATTAAAATAGTAAAGTATTCCTCATTTTTACTTTCCATACCGAGTTATATTTTAAACGAATTTTCTTGACAATGACATCTAAAATTTTAATTTCTAACTTACGTCAAATATTTTGAATGAATATAATTGTGAAAATATGAAATATGATATATTATAATGTATTTTATAGGAAATATAGTTTTTGGTATATCGAAAGGATAAGTTATTTGATAATTATGACTCGTATCTTACTGTTTTGTATTACGAACAAAAAATTCTTAATGATCCTTCAAATCTCACAAAATATTGGTTAGATGTTTGTTAGCTAGAGATGTTTATGACATTTATTGAACGATTTATGTAACAGCGAGTTTTTTCCTCTGTTTTCTAGGAGAATAAACACACGAACCATATAAAGTGACAAAAAATAGGAATATGAACAAAATTAAAAAAAAAAAACATCAGAAATGACTTTTTTCCTTTTTTCTGTTAGGATTCAATTATATAATTTATCTTTTATATTAACAGTACTGTAATATTTTTTGCAGTTGGTGATTCATTTCCTCTATCCGAAAGATCAATAATTCCAATGATAATCTACACTTCGAATAAAAGATTAAAGTAGATCAATGTTTTGTTTACGATTCTAACTTTGGCATTATAAGATTTTATAATAATTAATTTAATTAAATAATTGGCTAATATAATAATTTCATTTTTAGTTATTAAAAAAGGTTCTTTTTAATTAAAAATTTTTTAATATTTTACAAATTACAGACACGCCTAAAAGAAGCTTATAAACTTTCGAAAATGTTCTAATTTATAGGCCTAAAATTTATGTATTGATATTTCTAAAGTTTTGTTTGTGAATTCATTAAATACTGTATATTCACTTATCGATTTTCTGGATACTGAATTTTATTTTTTTATTTGATGCGTCATGCTCTTTATTGTGATTTCTATACAAGTGATACTTTGTTCAACGTGTATCACGAGACAAATTCTAACTTCTGTAAAAATATTTGGAATAAATATAATATCTGATTGCAATCCGGAATTTTATCATTAGTCGTTTTAGAAATTTTCTATACAACTCGTATTTGACAGTTATTGGATTGAATTGGTGGTTCACTGTCATATCCGTGACAGAATTTTTTCGTGGATAGCATTATGTGCCAGTCTTGGGCCGATTTCATCCACGAAGAGGCCATAATTATCAGATTTATTTTTGCTATAAACATGTTTTACTCAGCATTTTACAGCATGGTTTCTAAGAGAAAACTACGCATTTTTTGTAAGAGAAGTTCTTATTATGACATTTTAAATTTTGGATAAAACTTTATATTAAAAACAGAAATTGCGTATTTTGTTAATTGCTAGAATCGTGATAACTCATTATAATGATTCGTTTCAAAGAACGGATTTACTATTCTTATTGGAATCGACATAATTTGCATATTTATTGTGAGTCAGAAGGAATAATTGACGATTTGCATATAGTAAAATGTCAATATATTCTATTTTACTGTCTCCAAAGCGAATAACTAAAGCACGCGTTGCAGTATTATTATTGTTTCGTATCTGTGCTCTTTCTTTAGCTATTCATTACGTCATTTGTGATACATATATCCTCAAAATTATTTGTGCGATTATTCGAGCGCTTCAATCGCTTTGCGGCATAAGTTTGGCTTGAGCATAGGGAGAATTAGCTGTAAACATTTGAAATTCTTTTAAATATATGTTCGTTAACTCAGATATTGCTTTTGTTCTTTTTAAAGAACTGCTTATAAATATTATTTTAACTCGGTTTTTAACATTATTTATTCGTAAATGTCGTCAATTTTTATATTTCTATTAACTGTCACTGTCACGATTTTAGACTAAATTGATTAGATTGGTTTTTTTATGCTTACAATTTGTATTCATTTCAAAATATTTTTGGGAGTTTTCGTTAAGGATATTTTCAAGAAAAGGCAGTAAACAAATTATAGTTAGGCCTGTATTTACATTATTGAAATGGGATGCCTTGAGAATTCCTGAGAATTCTCTAAATCAGGAAGAAAAGTGGTTGATGAGAATTATATACATTTAATTATGGAAATGTATAGAAATGTTAAACCAAGTGTTAAGATAAAGATAGGATAGATTAAACTGTTACAAAAAAAGGAGATTTAAGATTTTGGGTGGCTTTGTCTTTTATCAAGGTTAACGCCTATATCTTTTTTATTTATTTATTAATATTAGAGGAATTATTGTAGTGTGCAGTGAGGAATGAGCTATGATATATGTTATTCACAACTGATGTTGTGTTTATTAATGAGATAGAGATCAAAGTTGAGCCAGAAAAAGTTAGGAACAGGTTAAAGAGGGGATTTAAAAATTAGTAGAAGATTTAGTTCTTGGATTTCAGATATGGGATATAAGAGGAAAAAGAGGGAGTTAAACTTCAGAATAAGTTACAAAGTGTAAAAGTGAAAATTCCAACAATTTAGGTCATGTTTACAGGTAGATAATGACTTAGAGGTAATTAGAAAATGATGAGTTAGAATTTGACAAATAGAATAGGTAAATGTAGGATGGCAAGAATTCAAACAGTATTAATGACAGTGATAGTAATGACACGGATTCTAAAAGAAAGACATAATGTTACTGGTGTTTTAATCATATACACTATATATATATAGGCCTATACAAAGGACGGATGTCAGTAGACCATCAATAAATCTTCACTCATATTCTACTTTTGATAGTGCATAATATCTAATAAATTACCAAAATATGTAGAGCCAATGTGAGTGTCATAATAAATGTAATTTCTCATGTCAAAAATACAAAACTTCTTCTTGTTTATCTTTGCCTTTTCCGATGTTTATATGGGATCAGCGTTTTCTTCTCTAATACGTTTCCTCCATTTCTTTCTATCAAGGGTGTCTTCTTTCTTAAGGTGGGGCGGATTAAGGTTCCAGCCGTCCTACGCCTATGCAAAGTTGTCGCTCTTATAAGAGACAATAGTACCAAAAATTTAATTAAAAATAAACAAAGTTGTTGATGTGGGAAGCCCATAAAATAAGCTACTTAACAGGTAGCCCACGACCTAAACTGTTAAACTAATCCCGCAACACAGGGGACTCAGTTTTTGATAAAAAAAAATCTTTATGTTGAAAACAAGACCTGCCACCAAAACTTTTTAGACTCTGTAGCTCTTCTATAGATGAAAATTTTTTTTGTAAAAAAAGGGCTGGCAGAAATACAATTTAATAAAAAGCAAATTACATCACAAATGGATACGAGTCTGGACTCGTATCCAATTTGTGATGTAATTTGCTTTTTATTAAAATGAAAATTTTTATTATTTTATATTGGAAAAGCTTGGCTTCTAAAAAATTCATCAACGAACTTATTAGTGTTTAATTTGGCTATTGTACTATTATACATTAAAACTGTATACCCTGCATATTTATGATTTTTTTAAAGCTTGTGATATTTTAAACGTTTCGCGCATTAACTTTGGAGGTGCTGACAGCGCATTTTTTTGCCACGCAATGTTGCCAACCTTCCTCTTATTAACTTGACCCACCACTCACCTCTCGCCATCCACCGGTGTCGCTCGACACTAGTAACCTTAAAACTAGTATTTTGATCTTGTATCTTATCACAACTTGCATCTTTCATAATTTTTATTATTACAATGCGTTGATAAAAAATAAAAACAGGCTCACAGGAGCGGCAGATTCAAATATAAAAAATTTTGTCAAGATATAACAAAAGAATTTTTTTTTCCACGGTGGTTGCCGCCCCTGAAAGCGTGCCACCCTACTCCCAAGCGTACTCGGCGTACCCCTTAATCCGCCGCTGCTCTTAAGTTCCCTCTGATTCAAGTCTTCCTCCACCTTATCTTTCCAACGCAGCCCTAGTCTTCTTCTATTCCTCCTTTCTTTCACTACGGTTATCCGACCCTCTTTCCAACATAATCTTTACTACTTCGCTCTACGTCGCCAAACCACCTCAACCTGCATTCTTGCATCTTCCTGCTCAAGGGACCCATCTTAACAGAACCTCTAAAAAAAAACTCGTTCCTTATTCTATCCTTCCTTGACACTCCACACATCCATCTCAACATTCTAATCTCCGCCACCTCCATCTTTTTTTCTTGGGCTCTTGTGATTGCCTATGTCTCAGCCCCATGTCTAACAACCGATTTGTACAATTTACGTTTCAGTTTGCAGCTAACTTTTTTGTCACATAACCACATAACACACCGCTCAACTTCCTCCAGTTCAACCGTCCACATTGAATTCTATGTTACGGTCTCGAAAGGTTTCGAATTACCTTAATTACTTACGAAATATTTTAAAAGTAAAAGATCCATTTCAAATACTCTTTCAGAGAACGAATTTTGATCATAGGCGAATAAAGACGCTGAAAATAAGAACAGGGAGTAGAGCAGGTTGTATAAATATTTTTTTATCTGTTAGAAAACACTTGAATTCAGTGTATGTCTACGAAAGAAAAATTGTTTTCTCTTTATTCAGATGTATGTAGCAAATTAAAAAACCCCTTATTTAGCACTTTAGTTACATAATTTTTTTATAATCTCTCCTCATGTTTCAAAATCTTGTAATTTTTGATAATCTGGTTGTCAATAAGTCGTGGTAAGTTGTCATTAATCACTTGTTCACATACATATTAACGTTATTAAATTTCTGTCATACTATTGAAATTATGCTTACGGTACCAAGAAACCATAAACTTTTTCCAAGTTATTCATTCATTCGACAAGAACCGTAGTACAGTAGTAACGAGAAAGAAACTTTAAAACGGTTACGACAATAGCGTTTATTGTGATGAAAGTTCAAAGGTCCTGTTACGAAGATTTACCAGCCACTTTAAAATGTGAGAAGATATTCGGTATTCTGGCAATTATAATCTGAACAGTTTTGTGGTGGCTTAGGTGTAATTTTAAGGTAAGTAATTAAGGTAATGATTTATAAAAAAATAAATCATTTATTAAAAAAACGCAAAAATGTTCGAAAAATTACACGTTCGATAAATACAAATCAGACAAATTCCTAACACGATTTTTATTAGTCGCTTAGATCATGTATGATATTATAAATGCAAGAATATCGAACACATTTCCCACTCCTGCCTAAACTGACCTTCGTCCACCCTTCCGTTCGTAACAGGTTTCATTTTTCTTTGTTATTCTTCTGCCCACGTCGTTTTTTTTTTGACGAATTAATAATTAATCAATGTACGAGTATTTACGTTTTGTCGTAATTTTATATGCCATTTAAAGTGTCCCGTCCAACCCGTTTGCTATTTAGAGTTGAATTAAAATGATATTTTTACAGTTGAAAAGATAAATAATATACTGTAGGGCATATATATACTCCATATTTTAATTATATATGCTTCGTATACTATCTCCTATAGAACAATACGTACCGATATTGGGGACATCAATATTAAAAAACTTTTCTTTTCTGTGATACGTAGATAAACACAACCTGCACTTAACGTTCGCTCAGGGTCTAGACTAGGGTTTCCAACCTTATGGGATAAAATTATCGTATCTGTTCATTGAAATTATCGTACTTTTTATAGAGAAATTTTAGATAAAGCATTCGGATACCGGCGGTGTCTCTCTTATAAAAGGAATCGTAGTCTGACATTTTAAAAAAAAAGGAAAAATCGGAGTAGGAGTCGGACTATTTGTTTACCGACTCCATCACAATGATGATAACGCTTCGTTTCACATCGCCAACAGACTATTGATTTCCTTCAAGCTAAATAATGTCAGATTTAGCCATCCACCGTCTTCACCAGGTGTGTGACTTGTGGCCATTTTTAATCTAAAAAACATAGAATACTTTGAACACAAATAAAAAAAAATATTGTTTTGAGCCTTATAATATTCCTGTATAGCAAAACTTTCAGAGTCACGCCCGCAGGAAACTTGTATGTAAATTCTTGGTTTGTCCTGTATACAAATCTTCATTTTTAAATCGATCTGGACCAATGTTTGTATGAATGTTATTTATATCCTAGAATCCACACTAAGCTTTATACTGCCCCCAAATATTGGGCTAGTATATAACTTCATACGACTTGCTGCCTTTACACGTAGCCCCATCTGTTAGCAAAAATCATAAATAAATGCTGATTGTTGGTTTTGAATTGATAATAGATTGTTGGTTTGCCTGCCGAAACTTGCCGACTATCTTAAATGCCTGCCTAAAGACATCATCACTATGTAATCGCGTTAAAAAGTTGTCTCTTTCAACGAATAGGGAGTCAGATTGGGTCCATCTATTGGGAGACAGATCTGCAGAGAATTTTGCAAAACAACTTTTGTGTCTCGGTAATTATGCAACGGGACGAGAATAATGTTTTATCTTTATACTGCAAGCCCGAGCAACTTTTTATTTTTTATAGTTTCATTATTATAAATACTCAGGTCAATAAATGCACATTTTAGTTACTAGGACCATTGTTTTTATCACTCTCTCTCTCAATTTTATACCACCGGAAAAACCCGAGCAACGCCGGGCACACTTCGCTAGTTATTTCTATTCTCAATGGATTGCAATATTTTAATAATAACCCAGATGAAATTGTAGAGGTAACATGTAATCAAATTTTGAAATTATTGTAATTTTACTTTCCGTTCTGTCTAAAGTGGAAAATATTTAGTAAGATGAGAAAATTTAATACATTGTTGGTGAATTAGTTTAAATAGTAGTAAATTTAATAGTCTGTATTATATTATATACCTATTAACTAATTAAATGTTAATTATACATTTACATTTTCGAAAATTCGGCTGCGTAATAGTTTTAAATCTATTGTAAAGCCGTACTGAAAGAATCCCTTCTTAGAGCTTAGATCCCAACATCGTGTTAACGTTTGCAATTATCTTAGAAGTATTCGGAAATGATAAATGATCAGCCAACTATCCTGTAGTCTTCCTTCTATTGTTTTTTCACTTCTGTTCTTTATTCTGTCCTGTTACTCTACTTTGTATTCAATGCAATGTTCAAAACTTTAACAATCTAGAAATTCTATACATGATGATTGTTACCAATGAGGAATATTCGGAAATATCCACAAAATCTATTATATAAACTATTAAATATCCATTTATTTTTACTTTCCAGGCTATTATACAGTACGACAGAGGGGAAATATGACGATTGGTCAAAAAATTACTCCCAATATTTGGGATAGGAAAACCTCGAAACGTCGAGAAATGAAAGAAAAAAATTGCAGGGTTTTCTATATATATATGGAGATGCATGATTTTTTCACCTATTTTAAAAGGTTAATAACTCCTGTGTTTTTTGTCGAAAATTTCTGAAATTTTGCAGAGAGGTTTGCGTATTTAGAAGGAAGTTTTTACGGAAGTTTTCAGGAAAATCGGACCATTTGTTCGAGAGATAATAACGAGGTGAGGTCATATTTCAATTTTTTGTTTTTTAAATAAGTTTTGATAGAAGAAACTAATATGTGTATAATAACCAATAATACAGTTTTAAGAAATTGATATTTTTCCCACCTCAACTCCAGTGAGGTGGGGAAAATATCCTCAACTCCAGGTCAGTGCTAAAAATATAAAAATATACTATTTTTTTGTTTTATTAATCATAATTTTCATCGAAATTATGATTAATAATTTCGATGAAAATTATGATTAATAAAACAAAAAAAATAGTATATTTTTAGATCGAAATTATTAGAAATTAGATCGAAAGATCTTTATATGTTGAAGAGGTGAGGAGGATAATATTTTTAAAATAGTTAAATGACCCCTATTTTACCGGTACGAGTAAAATCATTCGTATTTGTAATTCTACAGTCTTAAAAGTAATGGTAGCAATCATTAGGGAAGAAAACAAAGAATGCCGACGGGAAATTCCGAAAACAATGTCGCCACCTTTTTGGTAAATATATTTTGATACATAAGTTTGTATTACTTCTTTATAACTGAAGACTAAGCACATTTGTTGGTGCACCCACGACACATTACTTTCAATAGACATTCATTATATAATTAAATTATAACAATATAGATTAAAAGAAAGCGTTATTAAATTTTGTTAATAACTTTACGTTACGAAACATACATCAGGTTTTGAAACTTTTAAACGATTTGAAAATTCTGCGTTATTTATGCTACGTGATTATGAATTCATTATCATAACCATGGTATTTCACGTGTCAATGATAATTAAAAGAACAGTTTAACAACGTTTTCATCATCAAATTTATATTAAGTGCATATTAACTAGGAAATAATTGGCTTTTAGAAACGATGTCACTAATTGTTTGATTGCATTGTATCTGTCATACGGTACTTTTGATATCGTTTAGTGATGCCACACAATAACCATAAAGTCACTATACGTAGCTACTTAAAAGTTCCGTTCCATATTGAGCATTGAACGTCCCCATCCTAACAGCTGTTAAGTCTTTAATTTTTATAAGGCAAAGCTGAAAAATTTTCTTTCATAACACCTCAAAGCAAACTGTCAAATCAAATTGTCAGTATTTTTAACTCGATCTCGAAGAAGCCAAAATATATGCAACTGGGAGACCACGACACAGTCTCTTGCATAGGAACTTTGTGCTCATTCTGTATTTTTCACACGGTATTCACCTGAACATTCATCCAAGAGCAAAAGAGATTTTTCCAGCATTGCATATGTTTTAGTTTCACTGCAATGTTTATATTCAATAGACTAATTCAAAAAAGGGACGTGTGGAAATCATGCGATAGTTCCGAAACAATACGTAAATTTTTCAAACATAAGTACAGTACAAGATGCAAATTAAAAATGCGATTTCAACAAATCACGCGACGATTATACGATGCTTATATCCCTTATAAAAGATTCAACATGCAGTCTGCTAATTGTTAGAGCACCGAGATTATTTTTCATATAAATGAACCCTATAGTGAAATGATATTTTATTATACTTTTATGGAAATTATACTTTATGGAAAAACGAGACAAAATGCACGTAGATTTCACGAGCATTTTCCAGTTGCACCAAGGATGCATTCATTAATAGTGGTCGCTCTGGGTCTTCGCCATCATGTGCGCGCGCTGCTGTTTGTAGGCATTTGGGAACGACGGCGAAAGAAAAAAATGGCGGCCCCGTACCTATCGATAGTATCCTGCTGGAGGAATCTATGATTTTAAAATATGCGGTTTGAAAACAAAAGTTAAAAGAAAGATTCCGATTATAAAATTTAACCATCAAATGGATTGTCTCGCCGACAGAGCATTCAAAGCAGTCAGGAAAAAAATTAGAATGCCGATTACCATTCGAAAAACTTCGAGATGACACTTATCTATATCACCCTCTGCACGCGATTTTATAACTTCTAAATTTTCATTCATAAAACCGTGTAACGGACACTGAAGACGCCATGTTGCTTTCCACCGTAAACTACTACTATAAGAGCCGTTTTTGCCATCCGGAATATAAAAACGCGTTCTACAGGAATTTTAAAACGGATGCCGCGCGCGCAGTAGAATAAAAGAACGCATCCTAAGTGCCACACATATACAAAATATAAGGCCGCCGACGAACCTATTCTTCTCTACTTGGAAGGATTTATGCTTTGTTTACTCGTCCGTCGTCCTCCAATAAACCCCCTTAAGCCGCCCTGTTTAGGTTTTTCTCGGTTTAACGGATTACTGTATTTTAGTAAAAATATTTTAAAGGTTAGAGTGCAATAGTCTTTGCTTATCACATTGATCTTAAAAAAGCCAATGTTGTATCGTTTCAAATTTATTACCGTTACTATATTGATGTTAGAAAGAACAACATCTCAAGTGTAATAAATCTTAAAAGTTTTATTAGGATTTTTATTACGTAAATTTACTTATAGGTTAAAATGGATAGTACTAAAGGAGGTTGAACTTTTCTAATTTGATAAATCAGAGGACTTTGTAAATTTCTAACCTATTTTCTTTTGATAACGACTCGAGGCTTGGCCTGAATATTTATTTTATAGATATTGCAATCTACAATAAATCCCGCGCTTCCAAAATACATTAAAACTATGTATTAAATAATGTGACGCTTAAGTTATCATCTTAACAATAATACTCTGTAGTATATTTAACTAGAAAATTATATGAATTCGTCTTATCTGATGGAGGAGAGAACGATTGTGACGAAGGATAAGCTTTTAATAATTAAAGTTATTCTCAATAAATGTAGCTTTTGGGAGCGTAAACTCTTGAAATTAACACTAGCAGGGATCATTGAGAAAAGGACAGTAAGGAAAGTCTGTCTTAATTTAATGGTTAAACACTTAAGCAAAGAGATTACCTTCTATAAACGAGGAAAATATCTACAGTAGTATCACTCTTTCTTGAAAAAATTCAGAAGCGCTTAAAAATCCTTTAAAAATATTTTGTAAACATAATTTAATAAATAAATGTTGAAATTATTAATTATAAGTATTATTTTAATTGAACTAAATATAAATTTTTTTCATTTGATCTCTAACTCCTTAAGGTTGAATGCGAGATATTCGTGCTAGAAATTCGTTATTTGGGTGTTATTTAATCCAGAAATAATTCATATTTACGTTCATCTAGGTTATTATAGTTTTGCTATTAGAGCAGTGGTTCTCAACCGGGGGTACATGTACCCCTAGGGGTACGAGCGTAAATCAAAGGGGTACATTTAACTTTCATTATAAAATGGCGTATGTTAATTAATTTGCTGTAAATTATTAACACAAGAAACAAGAAATAACAAAAACTTGCTTTAAAATATCCTAGTGTGAACACCGATTTCCTTTTTAACAGTCTAAACAACTTGTTTATCCACTTGATTTGCCTGTCTATTTGTGCCATTAGTGCCGAGTGAACCTGTAGTCTAGTCAAATTACGGTTTAACCGAGCATTAATTTTAGACTAGAAAAAAAATTTATCGCAACAAATATCCCATTAAATTTTGTTAGAAATTATTATAGAATAATTTAAATTTTCTTTATCGTTAATTATAATTATTTATTTTTAGAAAATGTAATTTATGCATGTGTTGAAATGACTTCTGTGATTTTATATAATATACTTGCCAAATAATAATAAATAAATGTATGTACCGGATTAAATTTATTATTATTTACGTGAAATAAGTAATTCACTTTTAGTTATAGTTATTTAGTCAGTTTTTTATGGTGCTCAGTTATAAGGGCTGTATACATCTAACGCAGTAATTATAAAATTTACATACAAAAATATAAGGGGTACTTTAGAAACAAATAATAAACTAAAGGGGTACATCAACAAAAAAAGATTGAGAACCACTGTATTAGAGAATAATGTATATAAGTTATTTAAATATTTGATAATAATTTAGAAAATAAATTCTTTCAAATAAAACTCAGTTAATTTTGAAGAGGTTTTAATACTTTCAATTCACGAATGAAGGAGAGAATAAAACGATATTTAATTATCGAGGCGAGAAAACATCATCGTTATAGATCACTTCAAGAGGAAAATTCGAGCGAGAAATAATTATTGTACTGTACATAAAATATTTTTTGCATATTTAATTATTATTTCATATAATATTAACGTAAATTCGTGTCATTAGCCTATATTTAAGCTAAATTTCATTTTATCTGAAGAGTATCGATTAGTTTTGTCTACACTATATTGTATTTAAAAAAAAAAAAAAAAAAACGTATAGCATTGAAAGCTTTAAAGACCTGTAAGGAGAAGCTAGTGAAATCTCTTGATCTTAATCCAATAAAAAACAGTTTAGCCTGGAGGAATTAAGTCCAATAGGTTCTTATCAGTGGCGCGTTATGGATCTCGAAGGCCCTAGGCAAAGTAAATTTGGTGAATTGACTGTAAGCGAGATATAATTTAGAGAATAAATGCCCGACAGAATAAATTATCCATTCTACTACTTTTCCACTGTCATGCATGCTATTGAGCTTAATGCACGGAGTAATGTGTGTAAGATGTAAACACTGCCAGGAGCGACAGTCAATCGAAATTGGTGACCCCTTAGAATTCTTAGGGAAATATACTTTGTATATCTAATTATAACTTAACTCATTCTACGCACAGCAACGTCACTAACTTATAAATAAATTTTTGTTCTGACGTGAATTAAGCTTCTTTGTGGGAATTTAGTACAATCCTTTGATCTTAATCCGACTAGAAGATTGTTTGTATAAGCAGTTTAGCCTGGCGTAGTTAGTCTCGTAGATTCTTATGCCAAAAACACAACTAACCAATCAGAAGTTTATAAAAGAGTATGAAAGATAGCCGACATGCAAAGTACAATAGATACAGTATTAGGTAATCGTTAGTGTTTGTTACATAATAAGTGGATTAATAAGGAAGTATACAAAAGAGAAGATTGTAAAAATGTCTTTATTTCTGTTTTAGAATATAGAATGTAATAATAATAATAGCAATTAGAAGAAATAGAGAAACGATCACGGAGTGTTTTGGTGCAGTGTCTAAATATTTGTATAATAAGAGATGTAGCATAAAAATATATAATACATTTATCATCGTTTGATATCTCATCAATTGGCCATGCCATATATGGTTAAACATGATATACATACAAACTAAACACGTTTATACATAAATATCTACATTCAGAAACCGAAAAAACATATACATATGTACAAATTTCTAACAGATGAATACGAATCGAAATTAATATCTATCGAAAGATGTAAGAAAATTCTGTATAATGTTCAAAAATTAAATTAGAAGCCGTACCCTTTCCATCACTCCCATCCCCTATTTTCCATATTGACAGACAAAACAGCTATAAAACAAATTCTTCGATTATCGATAAATTAGATATTTTATGATAAAAACCATCACTGTTCACAATGAAAGTTATAAAATGTTCACGAGTCAATCTTTCGTTAAGAGGGGGGCGTTAAAGAGAAAACCAGGAAGGAGAAAGTTATTTTGTTTTTCTTGTATAATATATCATCTTTATATAGAAGAAATACTCCTTATAAAGCATGAGTATACTTTTCTATAAACTGTTATATGTATATGTATATATATATGTATATGTTCCGTTCTCTAATTATCTAACTTAATTCGAAGAGAGAAGGTAAAAAGATGTTATTAGCTAACTTAAAGTGGAGAAATATTCTATCGTTTTGCAATTGCAAAAACCTAAGAAGAATAAAAATTATTTTAAATTTTGATTTTTTTGGTTAAGCGTAGATAATAGAAAAGTTCGTTTTTTATAACCTGAATTCTTTTCTCGTTTACTTCTTTCCTTATTTGTTGCTTTCAATCTTCAAAATATCTATTAAAAAATGAAATTTTGTCGGATTACAGTTATTCTAGATTGTTACTACTTAATGGAAATGTGTTAAGGATGGTTATTAGGTTAAGTAAGGCCACTGGTAGTAACTTATAAGGTGAAAGATATGAATAAGACTCAATAGTATCACTCTGTGGAGTAGGAAGAATAGTTTTCTATATTGTTTTTCAAAGAACTTCTCCACTGTTTTAGAAAAAGAGAAAGTATCCGAACGGTTAGTTTCCAAAATGAAAATGATAGATGATGATTTTTATTTTGGAAATTTGCAATTGAGCAGTTCAGCCGACAAACGTGCCAGCCAGCTTATCTCTATATACTACAATTTTTAAAAACTTAACTCTTTAAATGAGAGAATTAACTGCATTTCGACTCTGCACCTAGAAATCATACTAAAATTGGACATTATATCCTGATGTTTTCTCTTTGCAACACAACAAAACAACGTTTTAAATTTTGTAGCACCAGACAGGCAGAAGACTGCCTAACCACCTTGTTAGAAGACCTTTTTTGTTTTGCTATTATTTAAATCCTTGTTTTCGTATCGCTTTGTTTTTAAAGAATAAATGCCAGCTTTATATTTGGACAACATTTTGGCACTGGATGCATTTTCCTAGAATATGAAATTCGCGATTTGAAATAAGTATTTAAAAAAAGCCAGAATTTCACACAACAGTTCCTTCTTGAGTGATTTGCACTCCTATTTCTTTGTCTAGCGAATCTGCACTTTGTAAAGTACCGTTTCCTCGATTCAAATCTTCACTCCCTTTGTGCATGGCTTCTAGCATTAAAGATTTTCTTCTTTCTTGACGTAGCTTCGTGGGAGATTTAATTCTTATGGAGCCTCGCGTCAGAAAGATTTTCTTACTCGATATTGGACTTGGCCTAATTAAGAATCTTTAAAAGAAATTGAACAAAAGAGCCAAGTTATCTTTCGGTATTATTAAATATATTTCAGCAATATTTAAACAAGTTATTTAAATATACTTGTATATACTTACACGACGTCTCCTTCTTCCAATTTTAAATCACAACTGGGATTAATAACAACGTATGAAAGGCTGTTTCTTTTCTCCGATACATCATCTGAAAGACGATATCAAAACTTCAAATTTACACTTGTATATACAATATATCTATATTGCTTTTTATTACGAATTTACAAACCATAATCTTCTGTTGGCAAGCAAAGGTCCTGCATTCTGTTTTTGACTAGATTACTGATTTCTTGTCTTTCTATATCTGTTTTAACAGCAGTTTGGTCATCGTGATCTAAATCTAACGATATTTGCTGCAAAAAATGAACATATTTTGGAAAATTGTACTAAATAACTCAGTTGGTAATTTAAAAATGGGAATTTTATGTAGACAAACTTACCGATGATGTTTCTGTACTGCTGGAAGATTGTATGCGATATAAACCAATTGGGATCTCACACGTAGAAGAACATAACTTTTGATACAATCTACCATAAGTCCGTATCCACAGATCGTCTTTAGTAATTCTTAACTGTAATATAAAAGGTTTAATTATATTTATCGAGTTAATTATATTTTTAAACACAGCGTAAAAAATATCGTAATTACCGATGATAAAAATCCTGATCCAGGAGCTTGATCTACACCCAAAAGTAGTCTGAGAAACGTGATCATATAATCCTTTACGAAAGCCTAAAAATAATTATAAGGACGTTAAAACCCATTCAAGTGACATTTAGCATTTTATTGATGACTTACCTGGTATAATAAAGTATCCAACATGCTTGCACTGAAAACATTTCCGGCAGCGAATGGCAAACGAAACATGTAAGATATATGCGAACCACGTTCTCGTTCCCTCTGGAGGAACATAAACAAAATTGTCTCGCTAATACACGACAAACTAAATTGAATTATAAGCGAAATCTGTCATTTTACCTTTTCCATTTTAGAAAGATGTAGTGCGTAAGCGTCGTGAGCTCTAAACTGCATAAACCTCATATTACTAGATTGGCTGAGCTCTGTAATTATTCTCACGCTCGGGAAAAGTCTAAAAGAAAAGTTACTCTGTTAAACTGTACAAAGTAATCGTTAAGAGAAATAAATTCTTACTTGAACATAGTTTGTACTGCAACAATTGTATTGCAGTCAGCGAGATAATCTTCTTCTGCTGAATTTGAAGACTCTTTATTTACCACAACGACACTGTCTGCTAAATTAATGCCTGCCCTCAATAAATCGTCCAAACTGAAAAAATACCCGGTAGTGAAGTATAATAAAAATTAATATTTTTAATTAAAATAAAATTTAATATTACTCGTCAATCGATCCTTTCATCCAGTAGACTAAAGGAAACCAAGAAATAGCGTCTATGAATGCTGGATGAGGACTGAAACAAGTAAAATATCAACACTGTAATTGTCTTTAAATGTATGTCAGCACTTATTTTAAAAAGGTACCTTTTTTCTAATAATAATACTATTGGACGTAAAGAAACAGGACTGTGGAAATGAGCTCTTAATGGAATAATGAAATTGTAAATTCCGTTACTTGCATAATCTGCAGCTAAAATTATACACCTGTTTGGCCAGTTGTATCCTTTAGCATTACGAAACATACAATGCTCGCAATCCTAAAAAAATATTAAATATTGAACCATCTGAAAATGATTAAAGACGAAAATTTAAAATGGATATTTACTTTCGCTAGTTTCAAACAACATTCTAGCTTTTTTTCTTTTAATAAATAACATAATGTAGGGCTAACGCCAATGTAAGATGCTACGGGTGGGAAACCTTTAACAATTCTGTAAGAAAATAAAGTTTTAAATATTATAGAGAATTTATTTAAAAATATTCGCAAGCTTTAAAAATATAAGTACTCGCAAGCTTCGGCCGGTGTACTCCAAGGTATATCAAGGTATTTTTCTTCTTCGGCTTCAAGAGCTGCTTGATTGCCATCTATTTCTGTTTTAGGAGTTTCACCTGGAGCGATAATGGTGGGAACCGGTGCAATTGAGGATTTCCTTAATACATCTTCGGCCGAGACATACAGAGGAGCTCCATCAACTGAAGGAACCTGAAGTCGTAATCCAAATCGTTTCCTCGTCAGAGAAAATGGTACTTTCTTCTCCGAATCGATCATTTCTACTCCGCCATCTGCATTAATTATTAAAAACTTCGAGTTAAATTTTTAAACAGAAAGAAATTTAGTGTTGCACGCTCCGCACCTTTCTTCGTCTTTTCTTCCATTCCCAATATGTCTTCTACGTCAGTTTCCGTGTTGCTTTTATCGTCCTCGTCACTACTTGCTGGCAAAAATGCACTGTTTTCTTCTTTTGTAATGTTCATATAAAAGCATATATCGGATGACTTCATAATGTATGATGGTCCAGGATTTAACATAATTGGCCACGTTCCGGCAACGTCACTCTGAACACCCACTAAAGCGACACCGTATCTAAAATAAAAACACATGCACGTGTTTAAGATGTAGGTTTATTCGTATATTCATGTTATATATCCAAAACTCACTTGCGATGTGAATGGAAGGACGCGTAAGTAAAGCTCTTTCCCTCATATTCGCCAAAAAATCTACTTTCTCCAAGACTAATGTGATAAATTTCATTTCCAGAACATTTACCATACAGTCTATGCCATTCTTCTCCGGATGTTTGTCCTTCTCTACATTTAAAATAAAATATTATCGAATTTCACAACTCTAGTAATATTTTTAAAAGAAAGTAATTTTCATACCGATACTTACTGGCCACGTGATGTGTGTAGTAATAAAGTAACGAATGTTGAGGTCCCAGGACAAAGGCAATTATTGGCTAACAAGGCATATTTAAATTCATCTTCGCAAACTACATGCTCTGTAATTAGAAATTATGCTTATTCATGAAGTTTCTTTACTATTTAAAAATAATCACGCATAAAACTACTCCCAACCTGCAAATGCCACGTGTATTTTATTCTCCGGACGGAATATTTGCACATACTGTGGTACGTTGGGTGCAAAATCGCGTACAGCCCATGATCTCAGAATGGTATGCTCGTCCTATAAAATATAAAAAAACAGTACAAAAGAAGCTGCACTTAAATGCTAACAAAATATAAAATAATACATACTGCTGCACTTCGATCTGCATAATTTCTTGCTGCCAGTATAAAACAAGCTTCAGCAGCATTCATCCTTATTAAAATTAAAATTTATTTATAAAAAGATTTAAATATAAATATTTATTTTGAAAATATCTTTAAAATTGATATATATATATATAAACCTCGCTCTTGTTAAATCTGTATCTTTTAAAGCAGATCCTTGGAGATAAATAACTCTTTGCGCCCACAATGGTACTTGAAGGATCATCTTCATAGTCGAGTCTAGTTCACAAGGAGATAGCAATACAACATAAAAATCCTAAAAAAGAAGCACTTTATGCAATTTTCCGTACAAAATTATTTTATCACATATAAAAATATTCCCACTTGAAGTAAAGGATGAGCATAAAATTCGTTCAAGAAATCCATCACAGTATCGGCCCTGAGAGTTGTACTACAAACTACAACGTGCTTTTCATTCTGAGCCCTGTGCATGCTATAATTGCCACCTAATTTTTGCCTTTCCATCCAAGTGAAAGCCAATTGTTCGAACTGCAAATGTAAATCAAATTACGAATGTCATTTATAACGTAAAATTACGACGAATCATAGAAAAACATACTTGTGTGGGAAGGACGATGAGAGCGACTCCAATCATGACAACCATAAAAAGCTGCGATGGCCAATTATCGGGTCTCACATCACCATATCCGACTGTAGAAAAAGTGACTACGACAAAATAGAGGCTCCCAAACAGGTCAACATGATCTTTTCCCGCTCTTTGAGAATGTTGAAAACCACATACACTGCGATATCCAACCGCGCATTAATGTGTTATTCTTTCAAATTGTGCTACTTATAATGTACTCTACTTACCTTGTAAATATTAGGCACATCAGGGTAACAGTTAGTATCATTAATCTCTGGGATAGTGCTGACTGCGATCTTTGCATAGCTCGATGGAGATCATTCTATTGAGATAAACAAGATCCTCTGAAAAATTCTAAATTGCAATTACAGATCGAATTCTTTTGTTAAATAAGACATAATATTTTCTAAAATATAAAAATTTACTTACAAACATGTTCTCGAGAGCAAATTTTGCTAACCAACAATTCAGGAATCCTGGTATGAATAGATTTCTTAATGGAGGATAGCATAACTAAATAACAAACGTTTGATGTTGCATTTATATACTGCTATATGAACAATTAACATATAGATTGATGATGAAAATAACTTACTGTGACAACAAAAGGTACATTGTTCACTAATTCCAATATGAAATTCCATGATAATAACTGCTGCCAAATGTTACCCTACAGTTATTCGAACGGAAAATGTATTTATTTATTTTGTATTTTATATGCAAGTTGACATAAATATAGATTAATATTTACTTTATATCCCAAGTATGCTAATAGTAAGGCCTCGGACAGACATATAAATGAGAGGGCAACCTATATAAATTAAATAGATTTAAAATTAATAATTGATAACATCGTCATTATCAAATAATTAAAATAACTCACTTGAATACCCCAAAGAGGTAGTGGACGATCCACCCAAAGAATGCCATCCCTGAAAATCATAATTAAAAAGAATTAAATACAATTTTAATTAATAATGATACTTTAATTTTATAATTATTTTTAAAAATATACTAAACACACTTTAAAATAATTATATTTAAATAATAATTATTAAATTACTCAGTAATGAGTTTTAATCCTAATTGCCGCATCTATTTGTTAAATAGTTTCGTTAAAAATTCGATTTATTTTTTCAAGAATATAAAATTAAAACAAAAATACTTTGCATATCATTTGAAACTAAGTAAAAATTTCGACAGCTGAAATCGTTATAGTAATCCTTTAAACTGTCCGTTTACCATCAATCTGCAATATAATTTGACTTGCAAGGTAAAATACGATATATATATAACGTATAGCCTATATATGTAATCACAGTACATATATAATCAGTTTAAATTTTGAGAGATGGTCGACCATGTTCTAATTGAGTTAAATAATATTTAGCTTAAATTTTTTTCAGCTCAAGTTTTCATTCATTTATCGGTGTTCACTTCTTATAAAAAATATTAATAATCTTTAATTACAATAAAATATTATAGTGTTGATGTAATTGAAGTTTCTGTATAATTAACAAATTTTAGCTGCAGATTATACAAGTAATGGAATTTACAATTTCATTATTCCACTACGAGTTCATTTCCACAGTCTTGTTTCTTTACGTCCAATAGTATTATTATTAGAAAAAAGGTACCTTTTTAAAATAAGATATTTTACAATAAATCCGTTTTACGACTAGTGAAAACATATATTATAATTTACAAAATGTACAAAATCGATGTGGCATTATGTAATTCGAACGTTATTTCCAAGAATAGAACCACAATTTATAATACCAAACCCCTGGGAAATCAAAGTTCGATTTATGTGTTTCTCTTAAAATTTATTTTTTAGACCGATAATGTCGTAAAGCGAGGTCTTACTATAATTAAAAACAAGAGTAAAAATGCCATCTAAAATATGTTTAAACCTAAATTAGAATTTACCAATTGATATGTTCTGGTTTTATAGAAGAAGTTTGAACATTGGGTTCTGTATGAACAATCTCACTTCTGTTATTAGGTGTGCAGCCATAACTGAAAACGAACAACACACGGTTATAGTGTACTTTATACTCGTATATATTTAATTTTAATAATATAATATTTATATCATATATTTAATCATTCACCATGCTGCGTTTTGTGGTCCACTATCCAATATTACTCGAATGACATATAGAACACACAACAGCAATTTAATTATCAGATTAAATATTCTTATCCTCAAACCTAAAAATAAAAAAAATAATAAAAATATACACATATTAAAACTTTACAGAAGTGCATTGCATTTTATATAATTTTTAAAAAAATTTTAAAAGATTTATATATATTATAATAAAAACTGCTTATAAATATACATATATAATGAATGCTTATGTAAAATATTCCTATAATATAATATCTTATCATATTTTCCTAAGTAAACAAACTTCTCTATACGTTTATAAGAGCAATTTTATGCAAATTACTTCGGTTCGGTACGCTCAAAAAAGTTTCTGTTAAGAATGAAATGCACGAAGAATGATTCTGAATATAGATCACTGCTTATGTATTTGTTATGTAATAATATTTCTGCCAAACAAAATGACATTTTGATCCTATTTTTAGTGCATAAAATACTATTTATTGGTACATAAAGAACGAATATAAAAGCCAAGAGTTGGCAAGAGTAAACTAGTAATAGCATTTTCCGACAAATAAGCGAATACAAATAAAAATAATATATAAGAAAACAATGCAGAATACTTTTAAAAATTTAGATAATAAGATGATAAACTTGCGTAAACAACAATATAAATGTTAAAATATCAAATATTCTTCCTATATAACAAAAAAGTTTTCATGTACTGTACGGTAAAAGTAAACAAAGGTAATTTTCTTTCATCGAAAGTCTCTATAGAATGCATTCACAGAAGCGTATAATAGCTTTTGTAAGTTATAAAAGAAATATTGAAACGGTTACAATTAATAACTGACAGGTGATATTAGTTATATAATTATTATTAACCATGCTAAACTGATTATACAACAGTTCCTTGTACCAGATTATATGTAAATAACGTAATGTATTACTCTAATTATATATAATCTGTACAAGGAAAGTGCTCGATTGTAACTTAATTCCACTCTGTATAATTGAAAATTATTAAAACCCGAGTTAATATTCTAATTTATTGTAGAATATTTGAGAATACCGGTTAAGTAATTCTCATCTTTCTTATGTATTAATGCCAAACGTTTAATTTAAAACTTCTTAATTTTTTACAATGAATCTAATTTAAATTCTAATTTAAAATTCTGTTATATCGTGAATTAAACTCTAAAACTTGGAGAGATCGGAAATAGTAAGTACCACTTAAACTTAAAATTAATTTAACGAGACCTTATCTTTGATCTCTGGAGAAAGTAGAAATATAGAAGTGATAACATAATCTGAGAGAAAAAAAATGTAACTGTCAACAAGCAAACATTTAACTTAAGTGATGATCTTTATAATTACCAGAAATACCAAGTAAGTTATCGACAATAAATCAAGAATTTAGTGATGTAGTAATAAATAAAATAATCGAGAGAAGCGTTATTGTATCCTTCACTAAACAAGATAATAATTCATGAATCTATTCCTGCACTTATCTCGTTGTTAGCAATCTTCGTCCTTCCCTAAAAATAAAATTAGAGATTTATATTTATTTTAAATCTAATATATTCCCTTCTAGTCTAATTTATAATTTAAAAGATAGAATATATTACTTCTAAATATTTAATAATTATGTATTAAATACTACATTAGGAAGAAGTAATTCAATTTCCTGGGATGATGGAGATAAAAATATCTTTTAGTAAGTTTAATTTTTTGATTTTCTAACGTGTATAGATTTATAGATTAACAGCATAATTAGAAAAGTAGAGGATAATCGATAGAAAGTGCGTAGAACTATAGTAAATTGCCCTAAGAAGTAAGGGGGAAAAAAAGGCTTTTTTTATGATGGTAATCAACCTAAAGAGAAATGGGATGGAAGATTGTTAATACTGTATCTTCTATGAGATAAATTTTGATGATTGCATCTGTCGACTTGTAATAATTGACGTGGAACAGAGAAATCAATTTTGCATGGTTTCTATCGAAAATGTTTAATTGTTTGCATTTTCTTTATTATTTATTTCATTATTTTTATTGTGTTTGGTGTTTTGATAGCGGTAAACAGAATGGCATGGTTTGTATTGTGTAATTCAATCTTTGCATCTGTTCGAGCATTTTAAAATAAATTCGGAAATTTAATCTCTGAACGCCAAGCGTATAATTCAAAATGTAGCTCGAGTTAAACGTGTAAATATTTAGAAAATTTATAAATAAAAAATTCTTTTTATTAATATTAAAATTTTTACGAAAGCGCAACTCATTTTTTTTATTATTAAATCTATTTACAGATGTTGAACCGTAAACAGTAATACAGAAAAACACACAGGGTGGCCCAAAAGTCAGTTGTTTTAAATACTAGTCCGGTATATTATTCAAATGCGTAGTCTTTAAAATAATTAACCAAATTTTGGGCCACCCTGTCTATTTTTGTACAATTAAGTATTTGAATAATACAGCAATTTCATCGCATTTCTAGCAATGTTATAAATGAAAGAAGCACATTGTTTTAAAATAAAAGTTACACTTTATATTCATCGGCAACACATTACTAAATACGATTAATTTCATTTCTGTCCACTTGTACTTTTAAATTGTGTCGATTTAAAAAATATGGTAAAATTTTATTCAAAATTCTTTAGTTTATTCGAAATATTCAAATATTCGCTGTCATTTTTACACAAATACAAGATATTAAATTGCTTTCACAATTATTGGGAAAGGATAGGAACGAATGGAATTAGGAAGAGATTAAGATGAATAAGTGTGTGATTAATACAGACAGAATTGTGTATTGTTTGTATAAATTATTTTAAAAAATCATTTATTTAAAAACTCCAATTGATTTATAGAACTTTTGTATTCATTTAGAAGTGTAATGGTTTCTACTTGGATAAACATTCATTGCTCTTTTTTAAAAATGTTACCTGTACTTAGGCTGAAGTTTGTTCTTAAAACAGCAACGAAATCATTAATCTTAGCTAATGTCTGTTAAAATTTTTCAGAAAGTTATGTATTAATATCTTTTTAAATTTTATTTTTGCATTGTTTTAAATTATATATGAAGTAAGAAATTTAAATTCCGTCAGGTAGTAGTAGTTCATTTAAAGCTTAATCTTGAAAATTCTTTCGCAAGTTTCAAAATAGATTATAGAGAAAAGAATAATTATTCATCATTGTCACTATTTTTTTTTTAAATTATGCACTAATCCTGCTCTGAATAATAACAACAACAATAATAATAATAACAAAAATAATATAGAGGTATTAAAAAAGAATTTTTATATGAAACTTTTGCAAAAATTAAATTTGTTTCTTTAAAATCATTAATTTAAAGTGACATTTAACAATCTTTAAATGTCAAAAACATAAAAAACCAATTATTCTTGCGGATATGATGGAAATTTGCATACAGTCAATAACATCAAATGTATATTTTATTAGTTTTTATTAAAAAGAAAGACATAAATTAACACGTAACAATATTGTTTGAATGGGGTTTTGCTAACACATAAATGAAAGTAACCTGACCTAAATACGTTTTTACGGCTTCTCACCTTCAATAACACTAAAACTTATTGTTTTATTTTTAATTTACTTTTTTTGCTGTAACTTCCACATATAACCGAGTTTTACAGCACGGAAGTTGATAGGAGATGTATACGGAAGCGCGTTTAGATGACAGGAAACATTTATAGAACGACACCTACGATAGACGGTAGATAATCGAATACAAGATGACAAAAGTGTTCTAGTGCAGATGACATCAAGTTCGATTAACTATAGGAAAGTGCTCTGACAGGATGTACCTAAGTCATCTACATCAAAATTGGATAGCATCTGCCTAGAACAGTAGATTATTCACATTCTTATCGTGTTTGCGAGGAGATAAGAGAAGTTGAAGGGAATGAGGTTTATTGGTTGGAATGACAAAGGCAATAAACAAGTGCAAAAGTTTCTATAAAAAAAAAAATATTGTTAAACCGCTTTAACATGTTCCCTTATTGTCTCGACGAAGGACAAGAATTTTTTGAATTCGGAAGGAATAAATTAGTGTAAAATTTTAAAAAATAATAAAAAAGTATTGATTTTAATTTAAAAAAAAAAAAACACGTAAATACTCACTCGATCTCTGATTTTTTATAAAATACAGCTGAAGTCTTTCTTTGAAGGTGTTTTCGTTCACGTAAAACTCCACCCGAACTCTAAACAATAATTTAAAAAAAAATTAATAAAATAATTATTTTTATTTTAGTTTATTAATTAGGTCATTTGTTTAGTCTCTTAAATAACGATAAAATATAAAATAAAGTTTAAACTTTTATCTTTCATTCTTAGGTCGATAAAATATCCCCAGAGAGACAGAATTAATGAGGCCAACTACAGATAGAGTAAGTTTCTCTTACATATATTGACTAACAAATCTATATATTTTTTGATTTTACTAAATTAATGGTTTCTTATATTAACTAAATAAAAGTTCGAACCGTTATTTTTCCTTTAGAGTAATAAAAAATTGACATACTCGCAAGAGAGAGAGAGGCAAAATTGTACACGCTTTACATTTAAACAAAGTACATTATATGCAGACTTAATATAAAATTTAAGACGTATTTAATATTTTATAACGTTTTTATAGTAAAATTATATATATATATTCCTATTCCGATTAAAGTAACATTTTAAAAGTCACGCAATATATTTTTTAAAATTTAAATTTGGAAAGCTATAATAATTTTTCTTATTGCCTAATATAACATTCTTAATATATATATATATTTAAGTTGTAAAAAGTGAAAATGCCCGTTTCTTTACCGTACAATACAGCTACATATGAGAATCAACAGCTGGAATTTAATGGATATAATTCTTAGATTTGTCTAGGATAAGTTTTTACGAACTTCTATCGATTATATCTATCCTTTGGCATGCACTGAAGAGATTTATCTTCTTATAACATCGACAACACGTCAATCCTCCGAGGATTTAGATAACTAATCGATGATACTTATATTAATTTAACACTTTCATATATCATAGATTTTGGAACTGTAAAGCTTCGTGTGTTTATTTAAATCTAAACTTCGGCCATGTTTACGACGATAAAAATGTGGAAGAGTATTTTGATAGCGCTTCTAGGAAATAGTATGTCGAGAACTATAAAAATAATTTTTTTAAAATTAAGGTTTACGTGCGTAAAACTAATTATGAGTAATTAAAAATTGAAGTACAACCGAACCTCCCCGATAACGGTCACCTCCAAAAATGGACATTTATGTTCTCGTCGGTTGGCGGGTTTGTACTCGGTATAAAGTAATCGACGTTTACGCTGTATTTTTACTAATATATAAAATTTAAATAAAATGTAAGAAAGAAAAATCTGAATAAGAGAAAATCTCGGATTCGTTCGAATTTATTGATCTTCACCGAACTTCGAATTCAATTTTTGAGGTTTATCCTTTGGCGTGCTGTTTCTTTCCGCAGAACTATGTCCAGATAATAATGTTTTTCTATAAGATTACCGTTCTCGTCATAGCATTAAGCATTTTAAAAATTTTATTAAGGATTTTACAACGAAAAAACCTTTCTTACATGATTAATGATTACTTTTGTTTGTATATTTTCGGTTTAAAAATAAGTTATATTTAAAAAAAAACCATAACTATTAAAGTTTGAATTATAGTTACTGTTGTTATAAACATTAAAAAGAATTATATTAAATTGCTTAAAACAAAAATATCGACTAATTCAGTTATTACTAACTTGTCTGTTATTCATGAAGTTTGCGTGTAAAATTAACATTATTGAGATATATTCTCTTGTATACACAGATACACCCAATACACGTACAGTACAGTATATATAAATGCTATCACAAAGATGAAAAATTTTTAAATTTTACATACAAAAATATACTGGAAAAAAAGAAATATTAACGAGTTAAATTTCTGCGAAGTGAAAAATTTCTTAGGAATAAAAAAATATTAGATACGATAAGAGTTTTGGACACATCATCGAGTTGGCACCTGGGTTCAGCCGTACCATCTGATGTCCTTTGGCTATTTTCCAACAAGGTTTTTCACTCTTACCATTTAAAATATACGTAGACGTATGTATAACCCGATCGAATACCTCAAAAATAATAAATAAATAAATAATTTAAATTTTAAAATCGAATTTGTAATTTCTTAATTAAATTTTACGACTTCAACATCTTCGAAATTACACTTCGAACTGACTAAAATTAATAGAGTTAATTAAAAATGTATATTCTTTTCCAATAATTAAAGCAACACAATAACTACAGTATTAATAATTTAATAATACGAACGTTAATGTTAATTAATATTAACAAAGCTTTGTAAACAATTTATAAATACTGAAAATACATTTGTATGAGGTATAAATACTTTTATATACTTTACGTGTACCGAGGGACAAACAAAGAATGGAAGTTTAAATACTTTAAATGTCAATATTAAATCTGAATAATAATATGAAGATTTCCGTGATAATAGAGATAAATTACATGCGCACGCGTTCGGAATAAATTCACTCAAGTTTGCTCCATTCGAATTCTTTAATTAACAGAAGTTTTTCGTTCTTTAAAGCCCTTAAATGGCATGTAAAAAAAAGAATTTAATAAAATATTATCGTAATTAACTACTTTTTCTACAGAAGAATGCTTTCGGCCACGATACATAAATTTAAAAAACTGTATATACATGCAAAATAGCCCGAAGCGCCTGCGAAACATTCGAGAAGATAATGCATTTCGTATTGATAAATGAGAATTATTCATATTCACGCTTTCTAATACACGAAAATAAATGATTATAGTTAAGGATAATAATACCTTTACATATATATATGTATATAAATATATGAAAATTTAGATATAACCTGTGAAATTGTGATATATTATCCATACTGTCAGCAGCCGTGAGTTTCTCCACTGTTCTTTCGGGATGACATTGAGTCAAGTTAAACGATGGTACACAGTTACCACTAATTGTAGGCAATGCGGGTGCCACGGTTCTCTGTCGATATTTCGTTTTTTCTTTAGTAATCGGAACCTTGTTGACGTAGATTGGAACATGGCACTCGGTAGTCGGGTGACGAAATCGGTAGAACCATCGATTAGACATTGGTCTCTGAAAATATAGGTTTATGGCACATCGTGCTTTTCCATTTTAAAGTCGTTAATCCCACGAAATCGGCTCGAAAATTGAGATTACATACGGGATTTATTATTCTTTTTTCATGTGTCAGGGATGAAGTTGCGAATTTGATCGATTTTCGAGTCCGGTTACCGTTATGGATCCTAAATTTAGATCATGAAAATTCATTGACAAATTCCAACTTTCTGATACTTTTGCATGGATTTTTATCGAGCAAATTCGAATTAAAATCTGTTAAATTTAGTAATAAAATATTTGATGGTAAATTATTTTAATATTGGGTTAGTGATCAACAGTTATAACCGCGGAAAGGTTATAAGGTAATGTTATAAAGGCGACAACATCCCCTTAAAATAGGACGTAAGCCAAGGTTTAATACGCAACTTAGGATGTAGCCTAATATAAGGATGACTTTTATCATAACTTTTGTATTATGAGAAGAAGCTTAGGAGATAATACGATTTTATCGTGAGTGAACACGGCGGAGATTACTATATGCCTGCTTAAATACATTAGAATCTTGTCAATGACAGCTGATCTAAATTTAAACGGATAAAGAGAAGAAAATTAAAGAAAATTTAATATTTCATAAATCGATTTATTAATTAAAGATAAATCCGAAAATTAAAGAAAAAGATCAATTCGAATTGGAAAATTGAAATAAACTTAAAATAGAATGTGTTGGATCTTACCGAGATGATGTTTTCATTCTTCGCGAGGAAAAATCTAGTAAAATCGAAAATGTGGAGAGTTTAAAACGTGTCTAACGGAGAACAGCATCAGTATCGAACTGTCATCTTCTCTGCTTCCAAGCAAACAACTGGAATTCCGCGCAGGTTCCATACTGATACATATATCATGGCGTCACCTTTGTATACCGCATCGTCGCTATGGAGATTACTCTTAATTTTTAAAAAAATATTTTAAAAAGTATATATTAATTTCCTCTTCGGACTTAAATCTGAAATCTCGACAGCTTCCTTCCTTCGCGGGATATCTGCCAGCGGAAACATAATTAGAAACGTAAAAGATTTCGACTCCAACGTGACCTTTCGTACTCTAAACACTTTTTTACCCCTTTGATCAGAAGAAGTTTAGTTTTGTAGTAATCCGAAATGCTACTTGCACAATATAAAAAAAAAAATCAGAAAAATGGCTACGTTATTCCTCAATTACTTCTCCAATTTTTTCCCTTCTAAACACAGGATGAAGACAATAAAGAACAAGAGGAGCAATCAATCTTATAAAACTGAACTCTACTCAATTTTTAGATGAGAACTCGAGTTCTTTCCTTCTTTTTTTAAAGCTCTTTTAATTGAAATTTACTGATAAACTCGAATTTTAATAAAGATGAAAATTATTGATCTAACTCTTAAATTAATGAATACCACTAACGAAGGCTGTAGGAAGGATTATTAATTAATTATTTTTTAAAGGTCGTATTTAAAGAAAACTGCAACTTCAACCAACAAATTAATTCGTGTACCAATTCTCGATAATATTTAACAAAGTTTTAAATATAAATTTCATGATATATTTTTCTTAATTCATATATTTCGAATCGATAAATCTGAGTTCAACTCTGTAAACCAATCGATCGTGGTTCACCTAATTTTTAAACGCTTACACATACGTCAAACGTGTACAATTCATAACAATAACATTACATTTAACTCTAGTTTCTATGTAGTGAATATTCTATAATACATTTTAATATATGATTTATTAATTATAGGTTGGTTTTAACATCATCTCGACGTATTTTAACTAATAAAAATTATATTTTATATACTTTACACTTTATCTTTCCTTCTAATTTATTATTTTCAACTGGTTTCTAGAATAATTTATTAAGAAATGAACACGCTTAAACATATGTAAAGTTGGAGAATTATGGTAATTTAGTAGATAAGTCTTCCCATCTTATATTATACTCTAGGATTAATTACAAATTTGTATCGATACCAAATTAAATGAGTATTTTAATTACTTTAACAGCAAATTCCACATTTTAACTCATTAAAATGATTGAAAAATTATCATTTTTGCAGTTAATTATGATCTTTAAATGCGATTTTTTTAGTTAGATTTAAGATAAACAGCATCATTAAGCGAATAAACTTTAATTTATATGAATTAGAAAGTAAATATCCGTAATATATCACGAAATTTGAATTAGAAATGGAAATTTTGCGACTTTCGCTACTTGTTTGTGCGAGTCTTTCAGTCGAAGTTTAAGCATAGATCCCGCTAGATTCGTGATTTAATTTGAAGCCAAAAGGAGGATTTTTCTATAATGAAATTCTATTTTACTTC